TTTCTCCAAATAAAATAACAATTCACTTAAGATCTTAGTCTCTTCTTTGGCTAGCTTAGTAAGGTCTAATGAGTTATACATGAAGTTTATGAATTCATGTATTCCCTTCCCATAAATAACTGTGATAAAACAAAAAAAAGTCCAAGATTCTGCTACTGTTATTATTATAAGCAGCAATACTATTGGTAATAACATTAACTGGTTGGGTTTTTTTTGGTTGTTGTTTTTTTAATTTTTGCTTGTTTGTTTGGTGCCGGGGATCGAACTCACAACCTTGCTTTTGCCAAGTAGGCACTTATGCCGTTGAGCTAAACCCCTGGCCCAACATTAACAGTTAACATAACTGATTATTATGAATCTGTCCTCCCTAGTGAAAATCCTTGTTGACCTTTCCACACTTACTGCCTCTTCCAGGTTAGTCAGGACTTCTCTTTCATTTACAATTTTTCATTCACCAAAAATTATACGAGACTTTACTGCCTGCTCACCTATGTGATAACATTAGGGGAAAATCATGAGCATTTAACCAGATAAATTTAAAAAACTAAAGTATAAGGTCAGGGATTTAACTCAGCTGCATAAGCGCCTGTCTGGCAAACATGAGGTCGTGAGTTTGATTCCAGTTCCAAAAACAAAAACAAAAGCTAAAGTATAATGTTAATTGTGGTAAATGTCATAAAGAAAGAGTTCATGGTGCTACCAAAAAAGACTTGGGGATCAATAGCTACAGTCTGAGGAAACAGGTGCCGCTCAGAGGAAGTGAATCTTAACTGGGAATAGAGAGGGCAAGGAGATAGAGGCTGGGGTTAGAAAAAACATTCTGGGCAAAAGGAACAGCAAATAAAATGGCTCCCCGATAGCAGAAAGCACGGTTTTTGGTGGAGTGGAAGAAGATCAGTTACTAGGAGCACGATAAGAGGGGCTGGTAAGGCTGAAAAGGCCGGCAGGGGCTAGATGCAGGGATCTCACTGACGGCGTGAAGATTCTTATCTTTATCCAAAGGATGCTAGGAAACTATTAAAAGGGGTAGAGCAGAAAAATTGTATAGAACTGTGGGGTTTTTTGGGGGTGAGGTGGGAGAAGTAGGGGAGGCCAGTTGGAAGGTGATGATAGTATTCAGGTGAGAAATGGTGATGGTTTGGACAAAGGCAGTGGTGGGAGAATGGGGAAGAGTTGAGATTTAAGGCATAAAACATGAGAAGCCAACAGATTTGAAATATAAGAAAAGAGTATGGGGGATGGTGAGTGGAGGTGCATATCGAGGATGATCTGGCTAGCGTTCAGTCAAGAAGTGACTATGGTATTTATTAGTTTGGGCCAACTCTAGGTGACATGGCCACTCTCCATCATACAGAGAGAAGGGTAATACTAAAGAAATTACCTTTTGCTCGGAGATTACAGGAATAGGACAGAAATTGCCTGTTGTAATTCTTGCCAATATTTGACTTTATCTCCTTCCAGAACATCTTCCCCTGCCATTAGTTTCATCTTCCTCCTGGAAAATACACTCCTGTAATCCCAGCATTTGAGAGGCTGAGGCAAGAGGATCATTGTAAATTCGAGACCAAGCTGAGCTCCAAAGTGAGGTCAAGGCCAACCTGAACTGCATATTGAGACCCTTTCTCAAAAGACAAATAAATAAAATAAAAATAAATAAACCAACCCAGAGTTCCTGTTGGTGTTCTAAGCCAGCAGCCCCTATAGCTCTCCCAGTCCTGCCAGCCTGGTCTATTTCTCCATCCCAGTGGCCTAGCAGTTTCTGTGTTAGAGCCTTTGTATTTGAGGTTCCCTCCATTCCAGATTTCCTTTTTGCCCTATTTGCATCTCACTTTTTGCCTCTTTTAACATTATGAGGAAGCCTCCCAATAGAAGGGCTCTTCTGCTGTACTCTGGCCTTATTTTCCCTTGGTTTCTCACACAGGATCACAGATGCCCATACCATATTTTCTAATGAAAATATGTACTTTAGCATAATGATAGTCAGCTCAGTAGCTGGGCTGGGGGTTACAGGAAGCAATATTTGTGTTTAGCCACTTGGAATGACTAATAGCAAAGTGTATGTGTGTGTGTCAGTGTAAATGGTGAGTTTTACATACATTATGTATCGTTACATTTTTGTGTATTTATAATTTGTTTTATTAACATTTTTCGTTTTTCATGTAGAATTAGCCCAGTTCAGTACAGTATTGCATGAAAATCTAAGAAGCACAACTTGGGGAGGAGGTTGAAAATGAGTCATGAGCTGACTTCGCTACTAATGATGACTTGGATCATGTGAGCCAAAGAATTAGCTAGATATGACAGACAGAGAAGCACAGAATGAAGATCTTGATTCAGATGAGGAAGAAAACAGTAATATAAATATTTGAATAGTCAGAATGCTACAAAATGATCATGTACCTGAATAATCTAATGCTAGAATTAGGTTAGAAAATGCCAGGGGTGAAACCTATTGGACCAAATGCTTACGCTTTGATTCAATGTGGAAATTGTTTATGTGGATGATATGCTACAAGATGCTTTGAAATACACTAATAATGATATACAAGTAAAACATTTTATATGCACCAATATATGCACTCAAAAATATATTTATCATGACACTTGGCTATCTGAATTAAAAGCCTTCGTAACAGGAATTTATCATTCTAATAGAGTTTAAAGGATTTATGAGGAAGTAACAGCTGTGGCATTATTTATTTATTTAGAGACAGAGTCTCAGTATGCAGTTCTGACTAGCTTTGAACTCATTTCATAGCCCAGGATGGACTCAAACTCACAGTGATCCTCCTGCCTCAGCCTCCTGAATGCTGGGATTACAGTGTGTACCACCAAGCCAAGTGGCACTGAGCTTTTTGAACAATACTGAGACTTCAGAGATTTGGTTTCTTCCAAAATTGCCTATGTTTTGACGACAAAAAGACCCACTGAGAAAGAAAATTCCACCAATTTAGCTGCTATTTGCTCATTTTTTGAAAGCTTTGTTTCAAACTGCCAAGCAATTTATACACCAACCAAATATATAACAATATCAGCTTGCATTATGTTGTTGTTGTTGAAGCTTTTAGCAGTGAATGCCAAATAAACCTAAATATGGTGTAAAAATATATGCCCTGTTAGATTAGATGCAAAGACATTTTATACCTTGAATTTTTTTTCCTGTGTTCTTTGGTAGGACAAACTTGACATCTTGCTGGTTTTCCTGTTTTATTAGAAGGTTCCTCTGATGTTCACCAATCTATCCACCAGTGTGCTCCAGATTTCTTTTGAGGAATTCTTTGGGCAGTTGATATTGTTCTTCCTCTATTATAATTGATCATGTATCAATTCCAGACCCAATCCTCTAAGAAAATTTCTCCATATTTTGTGCTTGTTATTTTCTTTGTAAACTATGAAACAGTTTATGCCTGACATGTTTAGGACTGAGTAAAACACAACTGTTGACCAGCACTTTGTTTTGAGTGACATCATAGGTGCTACATAACTTGTCAACAACATCTTTATCTTTCCTTTTGTTGTAAAATGTAACCATGTCTGACTTCATTTGTATAGAGGATTCACTATTAATGTTCGTTGGTTTGTTTTAGGCCAGCCTGGACTATATAGGGAGTTCAAGGCCAACTCAAACTAAACTAAAGCAAGACCCTGTCTCAAAAAATGAACAAAAATCCCACACCTTAGCAGAGATTAAAAGGAGATAATTGCACAAATACTCTTATGTACTATAGGTTTCATAGGCTCTCCCTACAGAAGTGATGCAGCAAAACAGAAGCCACATTTATGGGAAGGTATTTTCCTGGCTCCTTGGTTAGGGGCAGAGAGTCTAAAGTAAACAGTTCATTGTGGACCTGCTGGAGTAGAGAAAACTGTTGAACTCTCGCTACATTTTACCTTCTTATACTCAGAATTAACCTTATCATTTTGAGAGAACTTGTACTATGTTTCCTTGAGGAAATATTTTTAGATTGTCCTTATTTTAGGTTCTTGAATTAAACTCAGAACTAGCAAGGCAATGCCATCCTCTAGCAGGACAAAGCAAGGTCAAAGTCCAAGTGTCAGAAGCACTGCCTTTGCGTATGATTTCATCTCCTGAAGGTCCCTTTCTCTCTTCATCCCTGAAGCCATTAACATTCATCTTTGTACTCCTAAAACTTAGCACAGTGGCCTAATGTATACTCATTGCCAATAAATGTCATTTCTGTGAGTGAATGGGTGTAACATTCCATTTGTGGTATGTGGTTTTGCACAGTTACTTTTCAGTCATCCTTGTGCAATGCATAAAAATAGCCATCCATTCACAACACTTGTTTTCACAGCTAATGGATGAGTTCCTCTAAAATAGGTAGGTGTAAGTTTTTCAGTTTGTCTTGGTTCCACTCCCAGCTTCCTTGGCTTGTTAAGTCCTCCTGTATTCCAGTCACTTCCTCCTCCTTTCTCATAAATGTTATGAGCCACAAATGTTTTTTGTGTGCCAAGCTCTGACATAAGGGCTAGAGAAATTCAAAAGGAGGAGATACAGTCAACCCTGTGTTCAGGAAGGAGAGAGCTTCATAGAAGGAGCCTGTTTAAACAGATAAGAGTGGTAAGGTGGGCAGCCTTCTGAGAAAGCAAGAATTCCGCCTGGAGTTCTACGGGACTATCCAGAGGCAGAAAGAGTTCACAGAGACAATAATCTGGCCATGTCCTGAGGGATGAGTGAGCATTTACCATTCACCTACTACACAAAATAAAATTGTGTATTTGCTCAATTTAAGGAAAACACAAAGTATCTTAAATATGCAGGTTTTAGTGAGGGAATGTTGGTCTCTAGATTCAAATGTGTGTCATCTTTTCCACCTGGCATCAGCCTTTTACAGGTTCCCTTGTAGATTAACAAAAGTAGCACATGTGAGTGGGTGTGTAGGTTAGACGGAGAGCAAGGCCTGGGTGGAGGAGGTAACTGACACAGTGTTCCTCCAGGACCTTGAATCATATGATCCTTTTTTCTTCTTGGCTTTTAGGTCAGGCTGTTCCTGCAGGATCCCATGTGAGATTGAATCTTCAGACTGGGGCAAGAGAGGTGAAGCTCCAGTATGAAGACAAGTTCCGAAATAATTTGAAAGAGTTGAAAAAAGGCAAAAGGTATGGTGTTAAACATAGGGACTTGGAGGTTCAGGAGTGACACTGACTTTGAAATACAGAGTTATGCAAGTTCATGTGGATTTTTTAAATTTGAAATTTAATAGCATAGAATTTGTGATAAATCTGTTAGAGTGATATAAAAGTTTACTTCTACAGTCTTTGGAAAGAAACAGTTTGCAAAAGCAAATTGATACTCTAAAAAGGCTGTAGGGGAATGCTTAACCTGCTTTAAAGATGAAGCTGCTTTTCCCAGTACTTTAAGAGCACCCATTTGAATCCCAACAATTAATGTGCTGATTACAGATGAATCATCTATTCATTAAAAAGGCCTGTTAGGCCTTCTGCTTTGCAGTAATACTTCCTTGGTGAACAATAAAATTGCATTTTAAAGTCTTTAATTCAGACTAACTTTTCCTCTTGTTAGTCAGTACTGACATGGGTTTTCTTACAGTACACAAATAGAGACTGCTGCGTTCTTCCGTGGTTGGAGGTTGCCTTACTTTTTAATAACCATTTTAGGTTATTTAGGGAATTAACAGGCTCTTTTTCTATTTATTGCTTTAAATTAACAAGTTTTCTTTGCATGGTATTTCCTGAATGAGGGGGAAGGAGGTTGAGGCATGGGGTGCCAGGGGTTGTGAGAGCCGTGCAGTTTGGTAGCTCAGTAAAAAATACCATCTGTGAAGTTTCTGACACAGGGACCAGAGAGCCAATTGTGACTTGGCCATATTAGGACTGCTGCCTGTGTGGGCTTATAAGCTAAGGTGACTTTTACATGTTTTAACGGTTGAGAAAAACCAAAAAAATAATGTTTCATGACTCATGAAAGTTGTGTGAAATTCATATTTTAGTATCCACAAGTATTTATTGGAAAATAGTCATGCTCTTTTTTACATATTGTCTGTCCCTGGCTGCTTTCTGACTGTAGTGACAAAGTTGAGAAGTTGGCACAGATAGCTCACAAAGCCTAAAATATTATCATACATTGTCACGGGTAGTTTAAGACACGTATATTTTGGGAATTAATAATAGATTGAGTAGGCACAACAGTCCTTTGTTGTGTATTATTTTAACAAAGTTTTCAGTTAGACATGAATCAGAAAGGAACATTAGAGACCTAGCGCTGACCTGAGTCTTTTCCTTGACATACCTGACATAAGGTCATTGAGCCAGTACCTGTGTACTTTTAGTCAGGCGGTAGTCACAGTGTCACAGATTTGGGCAGCTTTGCTATTAGAGGGTTCTCCTTTATACTGAAGTATGTTGTCTTCCTTGTAGTCACACCAAACGGGGAAGAACTTTCTTTTCCCCACTTTCTGCAGATAGAATCACACTGGTGTAGCCCAGGTCATATGGTTACTATTCTTACACCATATAAGAAATAATCACATGTCATTATCATGGCTGCTGCCAGCCTATCCCATCTACATCTCCAACACTCTCTCTCTCTCTCTCTCTTTCTCTCTCTCTCTCTCTCTCTCTCTCTCTGTCTCTCTCTCACACACACTCACACACCACACATTCCCCTATGTCAGTGTCTCAAAGTAATTTTGAGAGGTCTTTTCTCATATCTAACACAACTTTTATTTTCTAATGAAAGTCTGTTTTTTCCATTTGGTTTAAAAATACTGAGTTAGAAGCTGGGCTTGATGGCACATGCCTGTAAATCCCACTTACTCATGAGACTGAGGCAGGATTGCAAGCTCAAGGGCAATCTAGTCAATTTAGCAAGACCTCTTCTCAAACATAAAAAGGGTTGGATTTATAGGTAAAGCACCTGCCTAGTACTATATTTCCAAGCCCTTGGGTTTAATCCCCAGTACTCCCTTGCCCCCCTAAACAGGAAAAGCAGAGCCATCCATGTGATCTGCAGAGGCATCATAAGGGAGAATAACTTGTTCTCATTCCTGCCTCTTCACTCATTTGGCATGTTTCTGGAAGCTCTGCTCTGGAATGGTCTTCATAATATGCCAGACATTTCCTCTTCCTTCTAAGCAGTTATAGCCAGTGCCAAAACAAGCTGAACAGAAGTCCAAAGGCGTTGACCAAGTGGCTTAGTTCTTTGATGTTACCGAGCACATCCCTGATGAGGTTGGGGATGTGTAAAAGGGTATGTGCTTGTGTGTGTATGAGAGTTATGTGTGTCTGAGAGCAGTGATAATGTGTGGGCCAGAGAATGGGACAGTTATTTGAAAGAAACATTACTTTTAATGGATTAACCCATAGTTGACATATCAATAAGTGCTCAATAAATGAGATTAGTAATTACTTAGTTTAGAAGATCCAAGGCTTTGAGAAAACAGGTGTTTTTCTCAGAGCTCTAAAGGTTCTATAGAATGCATCAAAGACTGGGATAGTGGAGGACTGAAGACATATCCCTTTCATGAAGGCAAGCTGAGATCTTAGACTATGCAGCTAACATGCTTGCCTTCCCCTGGAATACAGCAGGACAGTAGCCCCATCTACCCACCTCTGAAGACTCTACCTCGTCACAGCCAGAAGATTTGTTGAGTACATTCCACAGTCCACACTTACATTTATCCATGACACCTCTGTTCTTACTTCTTTTTGTGGAACTAAATTGAAACACCTCTCGCCTCATCCTAGTGAATGCCTTCTCTTCAGGCAAGATGAATAGCTGTTGCTTGAATCTGCTCTAGGAGTTACCATGAAGATGTTACTGCCACGTTGGTGCCTTTACTTCCCTTGGAGGCTAGCTATAGAAGGTGGCTGGCCTTGATTCTACTCCAGGGCCTCTCAGATCCTTTCCTTTGTCAGGCTGACACCTCTTGCCTTTCCTCTGGGCTCAAGGTTGGTTTAAGCTATGAATCTATCCAACTCTTTTTGTGAAGACAGGCTGGCTTGTCAAATCATGGCAGACACACTCTGGGGGACTCAGTTTCCTGTCATCCATACCCTCAAATGACATAAATAAGGATGCATGTTACACCCTGTCTTTGCACCTTTTGCCTTCTAAAATGCCCTGCTGTGGCATATGTGCAAAGAACAGTGTGGCACAGATATTCCATATTCATTTCCACCCAAACTCCTAGCTAAAAGCCCTCTGGACTTTTGTCTGCCCTGTAGCCTTTCCTCCTCTTTTGTGAAATAATCCCATATTCAGCTGTCTTTCCACTCTAACTTCAAGGGAAGGTCACCTGTTAGACTGCTGACTGTCGGAAGGCAAAGGTATGGCAGTGCATTCCAGGTTAGAGCTGGGCTGGCCTGTATTACTGTAGGTTGCTAGCCACGTAGGGCACTTTCTTTCTTGGGGAACATCATGCCTTTCTCAAAACATCATGACTCTCAGTTTTGTTTTGGGCAGGCTGGATATCAACACCGACACCTACACGTCTCAGGATCTCAAGAGTGCACTGGCCAAATTCAAAGAGGGAGAGAGAGAGAGTTCAAAGGAAGATGAGGTATGTGACATTCTTTTTAGACTGTGTAAGCCTGAAGGATGGTCTTGGATTTTTGCTTTTGCAGTGCTGGAGGTTGAATCCAGGGCCTTGTATATGCTAGGCAAGTGCTTTATAACTGAACTACATCCTTGGTCCTTTTAAAAATTTATTTTAAGATACTATCTACCTATTACCTGGCCTGGCCTAGAACTTGTGATCTTCCTACCCCAGCATCCTGAGTAACTGACATTGTGCAAGTAAAAATCACTTTTCCCAAAGCTTTTAGAATAAACATGCGATAATCATATTTTAAAAATAACTAGAAGAACTATAAATCACAAGTAAGAAACCCTTTATAGACAACCACAACAGAAAAAAAAAAAAAAAAGCCAGCTGGATATGGTAGTGCATGCCTGTAGTCCCAGCATTCTGAGAGGCTGAGCCAAGATTACAAATTTGAGCCCCCTTCCAGCATTTTAGCAAACTAGCAAGACCCGCCTTAAAATAAAAAAAGGACTGCAGATGTAACTAACTGATTGTGAAGTTCTGAAAACAAAACAGTGCTAGGATAGGGTTAGGTAGAGAATTCATGAACAAGAATCAAACCGCATGTGAAATACTTCACAGAATCAATAACTGGGATCGTGTCCTATTAAAGAGTTTTTGCATGTCGAAAGAAATCTCCAGCACAGTGAAAAGAAAACCCACAAATTGGGAAAAAATCTTAGTGAATGGTCCCTCAGGCAAAGGATGTCTGTCCAGAACATATAAAGAATTTTTAAAAACCAGATCAAAGACCTATTCCAAAAATGGGCATCTCAGATGAATATTCAGTTCTCAGATGAAGAAATACAAATGGAAATACATACATGAAAAAATGCTCATCATCATTACTCTTTAGAGAAATGCAAATTAAAACCGCACTGAGATCCCATCTCACCCCAGAAAGAATGGCCAGGATAAAGAAAACTACCAACAACAAATGCTAGAGAGGCTGTGGGGAAAAAGGAACTCCTCTGCGCTGTTGGTGGGAATATAGACTGGTGCAATCACTGTGGAGGTCAGTCTGGAGATTCCTCAAAAATCTGGGATTGGGGATCCAGTTGACCCAGCTATTCCAGTTCTGGTCATATTACCAGATGAACTGAAAGCATCATACCACAGTAATATATGTGTACCCATGTTTATAGCAGTACAATTTGTAATTGCCAAATCTTGGAAACAACCTAAATGCCCATTAACTGAGGATTGGGTAAAAAAGATGTAGAATTTTTATACAATGGAGTACTACTCTGCTATAAAGAATGATCATATTGAGCTACTTAGAAGTAAATGGATGCAACTCGAGACCATACTCATAAGTGAAATAAATCAAACTCGCATGTGTAAATACTGTACAGTCTCCCTAGTGTAAGAAATGGTAAGAGTACATAAGATACAAAAAACTCAATAATTGCAGTGAAAGGATAAGATTCTGCTTAAAAGGGAAAAAAATAATATCTCAGGGAAAATGAGGGAAAAAAAAGGAAGGGAAAAGAAAAAATATCTAAAATTATATAAACATACTTTGGATAGCTAAGATGATTGTGCTACAAATTCTATAAGTTGTTGGAACAAAATAGTTAACATTCATAGGACTGGAACAATTGTGCATATTATTGAGCTCTGAGGAACTCTTGAAGATCATTATGTACAATAACAACCCTAGCTATGCTCATACCACCTTATTCTGAAGGCCTATATTGCCAGTGTTCTGGGCTCTTTGCTATTGTTGTATATATGTCTTTTTTGTTTTTCTAGGAATTTGTTTTGTTTTGTTTTTCCCTCTAATACAGAAAGGATAGGTATACATGTAGAGACTCATGCATGCATAGAACTTCTAAACAGTTTATGAGAATCGATTATATAATGCACGATGAAATGAACAGCTACTTTGAAGAAAAAGAAACACTAAGGTACCCAGTGCTGATTCTGTAGCATCATGATGTGAAATCCAGCAATACTGTTATTCTTCTCTCAGAGTGATTTTAGTCTGTTTTGTTTTGTTCAATTTAAACATATGTGAGGGTATAGACAGCTATTTTGAAGAGAATGACAAATATTATGGGAACCATTGTTGACTTCCGTATTGTCTGGTCTTGAAGACCTAAAATGCCTTCATCATCCTGTTCTGATCAGTTTTATACTATCTGGTTTTGTATGAATTCATTGTATGTGAAGATATAGACAACTATTTGGAAGAAAACAAGAGACGGACTGGGAGTTTAGCTCAGTGGCCTAAGTGCCTGCCTAGCAAGCGTGAGGTCATGAGTTTGATCCCAGCACCACCCCCCCAAAAAAAAGAAAGAAAAGAAAACAAGAGACAATATATAGACAGTAAAGATCTCTGGCTGTCTTGCTTTAAATCTATGTCTCTTATATTGTTTTCTTATGATCTGTTTTGTTCTGTTTAATTTTACCCTCTTTAAAATAAAATTAAAGAGGTTGGGGACTTAGCTCAATGGTACAGGTGTCTGCCTAGCAAGCACGAGGTCATGAGTTTGATCCCCAGTACCAATAAATAAATAAATAAATAATTAATTAATTAAAATAAAATTAAGGAAAAAACAGTGCTAGGAGCATTTTTGTCTAATTAGGACCCTACTTTCCATTTCATATTTCAGAAAAATTAAAGCATAGTATTGAGGCCTCTCTCCATTATCATAGAGATGAGTAGGATAAAAGGAGATTGATTATAACCCAGAGATAGCCTCTCACTGGGATTAGACACAAACTTGTTCCAAAAGAATAGAGGAGCTGGAACAGAAGGGTAGAAACTTGGATCTTTGTTTTTACAGCGTATAGTATCCTTTCTGGGCTTCAGGTTCCTTAAGTATAAAACAAGTGACTGGGACAAGAGGATGCCTGGGGTTCCCCCAGTTCTGGTTTTTCTGTATGAGCTAAGGGAATGAGAAGGAAAAAGAGGCAGAATCATAGCATAGCTCCTTGGCTATGTCCCTGGTGTGTAGGATGGCTCACAGGTACAGACTATCAGGAAGAAGTCCTAGTTTTAGACAGATTCTGAGTTTGTGTAATAGCCAGGGAATGTCACAAATCATTTCCATTTGAGTCTCGTCAGTCCCTGAAAGAATCTCCTCTGATGACCATGTTGAAGACACTTTTCCCTTCCTTCCTCTTTCTCCTTAGGGTCCCTTTTGCCTTTGTCTTCCTCTCTGTCCTCTCCCCCAGACTTAAAAGGACAGCTCTAGTTCCTTATTAAGAAGGCTTAGGTCTTTCAAATGCTTTACAACTAAGTATTTCTGAGACAAAGTGAACCTTTGTAGGGGGGCTGTTATTGATCTGTTTAAGACAGGATGATATACAAGCCGAGTCTCTGCTTCTACTCATCTACCAAAGTCATATATCTGCCATGGAGTGTGTGTGTTGTGGGAACCGAGGAGCAGGGTGGTGGCAGCAGCAGCAGCGGGTGAAGGAAAGTGATGCATGAAATTACGTTCTCAGGCAGAGGTATTAGCTGGTGGGGAGGGGTGAGAAAACGCAGACCTGCTGCCTGACCAAGGCGAGGGCTGCCGGGACTCTGCGCGCTGCCAGCGTGCTGTCGGCACTGGCTCTGGAGATGCAAAAAACTGACTTCCAGAATAAATTGGGGAATTCCTTACATGTTTAAAGTGTCTGACAACAGATACCTTCATACTTTTAAAAACCATCCTATTCTTCTAAGTGCAGGATGATGCTTTTGCTACTTATAAAGACATTGTCAGATAGGGGCCACACTTCTCCACTGTGTGGTGTTTGGATTTGTGTGGGGTTCTCTTTTCTTTCTTTCTTTCTTTCTTTCTTTCTTTCTTTCTTTCTTTCTTTCTTTCTTTCTTTCTTTCTTTCTTTCTTTGTGAAAAAGCATCAGTTCCATTTTATCAGTGGATATCTTAGTTTGGATGAAAAGTTCCTTGCTTTTCAGGAAATTTTCTGTCTCAACAGATTTGAGTTGTTAGGTTGAATCTTACCTATTTATCCCTCTACTACAATACATATTGTTAAAGCTTTATGTCTTAACCTGTCAGCTATTGTTTACCTATATCTCACGTAGTTACATTTATTTATTTGAGACAGTCTCACTATAGTTCACACTGGCCTTGAACTCACTATGTGTGATGATTGAGAAGCTCATAAAAAAGAATGGTGCCTGGTACCACAACAATAACAGGGGAAGACAAAAAGGAAAAAATAATTGTATGTATGAACTCCTGGACAAATTGTGTAGTAATCACAATAAGAAACTGACCAGAACTAGCATAGCAAAAGTTTTGAACTATAGTGGAGAATACTATCTGGATTTTTACATCAGCTTTTGTATCCCACATCTCAAAGGAAGCAGACCAGAAAAGGACTGCATAGTCTCTGAAAAATAAATTGTCATTAGGACCCCAACCTACATAAATAAATCAGAACAAGCATGCTAATACTAAATTGCCTATTGAAAAAGAAAATTAAATAGGATCCAGAGTCCCACAAGTTAATACTCAAAATATTCAAAATATAATTGAAAATTGCTCATCTTACCAAGAACCAAGAAAATCACAACCTGAATTAGGAAAGCCAAATAATAGGTGCAGTTGTGGATCAGATTCCTAGGCTGTAGTCAGGGTTTGCAAGGGAATAGATTTAATAATTTATAGTATTATTTTATAATATTCACCTAAAAAGTCAAATGCAGAGGAGTACAAGAGATCTGTCCACGTGATAGAGACCCTAAGAGCCCAGCTGAGGGCCTGGATCCTGTGGCAGTGTCCTCCATGAGTCTGACTGAAGACCTAGAGCCCACAACAAAGTCTGTACCAAAGATCTGCACTGGGAAAGCCTGAAGGTCAGTTATAGAAGCTAGCAAATCTAAGGCAGTGAGGTGAAGGATCTGTTCCAGCAGGCTGAGCCAACTGTACTGGAGCCAGGAAGTGATGCTCAAATTAAGGATCAGAGCTCCCCCAAAGACAACTGCAGACATCCTCAGCAACAGTGAGGACCAG